TTCTTCCTCTCCTCGGACCTTTCCGATGCTCGGAGTGGAGATCCCATTCCCAGTTCATCCTTCCAGATAGTGGGGGTGGGGAATCCCACCTCGAGTTTCTTTTCCAGCTGAAGATAGAATATAAAACTCTTCCTCTTTAGCACCGAGAGATAGAATATAAAATTCTTCCTCTCCTCGGACCTTTCCGATGCTCGGAGTGGAGATCCCACTCCCAGTTCATCATTCCGGGTGCTCGGAGTGGAGATCCCATTCCCAGTTCATCCTTCCAGATACTAGGGGTGGAGAATCCCACCTCGAGTTTCCTTTCCAACTGAAGATAGAATATAAAATTCTTCCTCTTTAGCACCGGGAGATAGAATATAAAATTCTTCCTCTCCTCGGACCTTTCCGATGCTCGGAGTGGAGATCCCACTCCCAGTTCATCTTTCCGATGCTCGGAGTGGAGATCCCACTCCCAGTTCATCCTTCCAGATACTGGGGGTGGAGAATCCCACCTCGAGTTTCTTTTCCAGCTGAAGATAGAATATAAAATTCTTCCTCTTTAGCACCGGGAGATAGAATATAAAATTCTTCCTCTCCTCGGACCTTTCCGATGCTCGGAGTGGCGACCCCACTCCCAGTTCATCATGCTGGGTGCTTGGAGTGGAGATCCCATTCCCAGTTCATCCTTCCAGATACTGGGGGTGGAGAATCCCACCTCGAGTTTCTTTTCCAGCTGAAGATAGAATATAAAATTCTTCCTCTTTAGCACCGGGAGATAGAATATAAAATTCTTCCTCTCCTATTTTGACACAACTTTCAACTTCCAATCCGCGCACTTGGTGCATGGGGAATTTTATCCCAAATCCTAAGTAGGGATAAGTCAACACCTAACACGTGTTGCCGGGTAGCCTATTCCCGTAACAAGGGCAAAGTCTACGTATTCAAAGTCGTAGCATTAAGTCTAAGGGAGTTCATTCCTTTAGCACAACGTTACATGCGGAACGGATTTCGACAATCCGCATGCTAGCCCGATTCAAACGGTAATCGGTAAAGGCATATCAAACCCGTTGAAGGCTGGGGGTTTGCCAAAAACCCCAAAGTCAACGCCTAACACGCGTTGCCGGGTAGTCTATTCCCGTGAGAAAGACGAAGCCTATGTATTCAAAATCATAGCACAAAGCCTCAGAGAGTTTACTCTCTCAGCACAACGTTACATGCGGAACGGATTTCGACAATCCGCATGCTAGCCCGATTCAAACGGTAATCGGTAAAGGCACATCAAACCCGTTGATGGCTGGGGGTTTGCCAAAAATCCCATAAAATCTGTCATTCAGAAGAAATACAGACAAATCACAAGAAAGAAGCAAATGCGGAGTTGCTATTAATAGGTCAAGTCAAAAAAAACATACAACAAAGAGCTCATTAGCCCGAAGGCAACTGACGGCTAAGAATATGAGACTTTAAGCTAAAAAGTCTATCTGCATAACTCTGCTCAAGTCCCGCCTACAGATCAGCTCGGGCAGATTCCTCAGAATGGCTTATCTACAGATCTTGGGGCAGATTCCTCAGAACAGCTCAAAATCTCCGCAGCTTCACTCTTCAACTTCATCAGTCCCTCCTGAGTAGATTCGAGCTCCTCGAGTACTTGGTCACGAGAACGCTCTAGTCCAATCAGGTCATCGGCAATAAGAACGGCGGATTCCTCGGCACGCTTCAAGGCCTCCTTCAACCTAGTCGCTTCCTCGCGATTCGAGTCCAAGGAACGGAGTAACTCAGCTTTCTCCCTATCCATCCTCGCCATGTTAGCCATTAGATGCGCAAGGGAGCTCTCGCGTGACTGAAGCTCACGCCCGACGGAAGATCTCAGTTCACGCCACTGCTCCATCCTATGCTCTAACTCAGAGGATACGAAAGAAGAAGCCCCGGTAACCTCCAGTTCCTTCAACTCTCGTATCTCTGACTCCAGGGCAGCGAAATCAGCAGTGAAGGAATCAGCCAGTTCCGGGTATCCTTCTTCCCTCATCATCGTCATGTGGCGAGAGAAGGAACGCCGGAACTGATCGAAGCCGCCTCCTCGGTGGAAGAAACTGAGGTCCGTACGGAAAGCCTCCCTGTCAGGATCGGTGTCGACCAAAAGGCTACGGACACGCTCATATAGGGAAGACCGAGATCCTACAAGCAGAAACATAGAAGCTCAGTGAATTATCGAGTATGAAAAGGAAAGTCAAAAGGCAAGTTCTGAACATACCGACACCAACAGACGTCCCCTCGGGTTGAGGTCCGACAGGCTCCGGGACAGCAGCAGAAGAGGGTACATCAGCCCCTGCAGGCGGATTGCTCGCACCACTCGGCAAAGACGGGGAGGCACCACTGCTATGAAGACTTTCAGCCCCGGGAACTGTAGCAGTATCAGGCTCAACGCCTGGTCCTACAATGACACTCCTAAACCAAATGGAAATTTGGACAAGTAAGGAGAATCGGGATAAGGAGGTCGTATACATACCTGCAATCCCCATGTCCTCAGATGCAGCCGGAATGCCAAGAGTCATAAGAGTATCGGCCCAAGCTGCTGGTCCTATGATGACACTCTCTTATTAGTCAAAATGAAAATTTAGACGAATAAGAAGAATTGGGATCTGCATACCTGTAGATCCATTATCCGCGGGCATTTGAGGGATGTCAGGAGTCATATGAGAATCAGTCCTAGCGGCTGGTCCTATGATTGCACTCATTAGTCAAAAGACAGATAAACATAGGAAAGTACAATATCCCTGAATCGTATACATACCTGCAAGCCCGTCGCTCTGAGGCAAACTGGATATGCCAGGGATAGATACCGGGCTAACTCCAATGGTTGACGCTGCGATAATCAATCATTCATTGGTCAGATAAAAGATCAGGCAAGAGGAAGAAAATCAGATATATACCGGTAGATGAATCGTTCCCGAAGAATGGTCTCTCGGTCCCTCTGGAAGTCTGCTCAGCCAGCATGTCAGCTAATAAGCCGGCATCCGGCTTCGAGAAGCTTGGCCCCTCCATCGCAACATCTGCAGGGTAACCCAAATGTTGAAGGATGAGGAAAGCTCAAACGAGAAATCTTCCTTCACCTTACATAAGGAAAATGACATTGGATGCGGATATACCTGAATAAGGGATTGTGGGCTCAACATTATTTATCTGCTCAAGATCGATGTTAAGGTCGATGCCCAAAGACCCATCGTGAAAAGCGTCGCACATTTGTTGCACAAAGCAATCCATGTTGTCAACGCCAGGGGACGCCGAACCCGGTGGGAGTTCGCCCTCCTCGAAGAAACCTGAAGCACAAAACATGGTCACAAATCCCCAAAAGGTAAACAACCTTGAAGCAAGAGCAATTGAATGTTACCTCCCCCTCCATCGGCGGTGCTCCCTAAGTCCACTCCACAGGGACGCTGACCGTCATGGGACTTATGGGCAGTCTTCTTCCTCTTCGGGGCACCAACCCTCCGAGGACCAAAGGGTCGAACATGCGCAGGCCTATCACACGTTTCAACGTGTGTAGGAGCTGAGGGCTCATGATCACCGGCTGTCCTACCTAAAATGACAATAGCCATTTCAATGAAAAAGAGCTGTCATTTATGGAAAATGAAAATTAAAAGAGATAGGACAAACCAGTATCGAAGTCCCCTCTGCCGGTATCCACGTCCGCATACTCGTCCTCGGAGTTCTCGTCATCATCACCCGCAGGGAGAAGTTCTTCTTCGTCTGAGACAAGAGATTTGGCATGCCCTTTTCTCCGCTTCTGAGCAAGCTCAGCTCTGCGACCAGCCATCATAGCAGCCCGGACCGCATACTCGGACTGCAACTCTGAGAGGCTCCTCGCGCTGATGGACTCATATGCAGAAAGGAACCACTTGCAGCTGAGGAAAGTGATCAATGGCTTACGCCGGTACGAAGGAAGAGCAAAACGGGCTCCAGTACAGCCCACCATCGTCCATAGCCACGCTCGAACGCCATCAATCAATCCTCCCTCAACCCGCAGGCTGCGGCTCGGATTCCCGACATACAGTTGGTCATAGCCGAATTGTCGAGCAAAGCGGCAAGGGAGATAAGGCTCTATGTGGCACTGGTTCTTCACCCGAAGGACGAGATAGCCTACACGGATGTTCACTAACCACCGGAAGCAACCAGCGTCAAGAACGGTCCGGTCACTTCTAGGTTTCTCCTCATCAACCAGCACGTCGCCATAGCGACCTGAAAAGTGAGGGAAACACTTAAAGAACTCCCAACTCTTGCGGACCCGGAGCTCTCGCTGAACATCACTAAATTTGCTCCCAAACCATCTGCTCTGCTCCAACAATTGCATGAAGGGGACAGGGATGTCAACAACGCTGGGGGCCGACATCAAGTCGGGACGGTGAAGAACGAGCCACGCCATCAAATATGCGTAAGGGAGCTCAACCTTTGGGCAAACCAGCTCAGCTGATGGTTCAGAACCCATATGTGTAAAACTGCTAACCAGACCCCTGAGCCCGCAATGGATACTAGCAACCATTGCTGGGAGCAGGGAAAGCTCTCTCCCATAAGCCAGCTGAACTGCAGGGAAGAGCACCTCGATGGGTAGAGCGTCAGAAGGTTGGTGCGGGACGACACACTTCTTCAACCAAAGGGCAAGGTAGCCTGCTAATAGCGCCCGGGACCCTATAGACCTCTGTGCGCGGCGGAGAAAAGAGCGAAACTTTGTCCCCGCGGGAAAAGCCCCCTCAGCACTGCCGATAGTGTAGGAACGAACCTCAGCCTTTTCCAACAACTCATTAACGGCCGAAGGAGTCATCACGTCTAATTCATGAATGGGCGCACTGGAATCACCTTCCAAGTTCTGGAACAAGTAGCTGGCAAACTGCTTCAAGCTGATCTGCCTCTTCCTTCTCGCTTGGGGAGAAGTTTGGATCAAGGAAGTGTAGTAGTGGCAAGTAAGATCCCAGAGTGTGTCATACATGTCCGGAGTATCTTTCTTCATACACTCCAGCTGCTGGTTCGTAGGGAAGTACTCCTGATACGGACAGTCCCCCATCGGAAGACCCGAAACATAATGCATCTCGTGCAAGGCCAACCCTAGCTCACCTCCGCTGGTCAGGAAGGTGTTGCTATCGGGCACATAAGTCTCCAGCAAAGCCAAGAAATGGCGACAGCTGACTGGGATGCCGTACATAGTAGCTCGTATGGGTGCATACAACCCACTGCTCTTCAGATCCCTCTCCCAGCGCGCCAAGACGAAACCAGTCATGCGCGCCCACCACCCTTTGGCTAGGGAGGAAGCCCAGCCATAACATCTGTACTCCGATGGGGGTAACTGTCTCCCAAGAAGAGCCAGACGGTTGCTCACAGTCGGAGCAGCAGCTGACACCTCGCCTGGGGGTGCAGTATCAAGACCCATGATCCCGGGTCGTAGACCACGCACGTCATGATACCCCTCAGAGCCAGGAGTCTTATGGTGAGTAGCATATCCGCATTGAACCCGATCAGCATCTTCAGTAAGATGCCAAGACATCTGCCGGTCCACGGCTTGCCCCTTCAAATGACTGAAAGAATAGTGGCGTGGAATCGAAGGGATGTACAAACAGGCTCCACCGTCAAGAGTTAACCAATGCTCCTCACAAAGAGTCAGCGTGGCAGGATCCCTGACATGATCTCCAAATAGAAAACCCGGCTTCTTTAGAACCTGAGTGGAAGTAGAATCAGGGGTGAAGGAGGCATCTGTGATAAGTTGGCGCAAGCAATGGCGCCCTCCTTCCTGTATCGAACGGCAAGAGTCATTTGGACGATCCCCGTCGAACCGAGGAAGTGGGCCAACAGCCTGCCTAAGAGTAGCGGAAGAGAAAACCTCCCGACTACATCCGGTGTTGGCGTGAGGAGGAAGGCTACCCGCGGGAAATTCCACTGCAATAAAGCACAAGGGCGGAATCAGAAAATCCATCTCGTAAGAAGAATGATAGACTCATCCACGGAATAATTGGAGAGACGATTTTGAGTGACCTACACCAGAAGGACGGCATGCGTCATCACGTGAATAACGTGGTAACGTACACCGACCTATAAGGTGTAGGACAACACAAAATCGCCCCAATATATCCGAAGACTTGAATTGGCTAAGCAAAACAAGTCTGAAACCTTACCCTCCGCGAGAGAGGTATCGGTTCTTCCTTCATGACCCGCAAAGAGGTCAATCAGGGATGTAAGACAAAATCTCTGCATAAATTCTCACCCCCGAAAAATGAAGCCGCGGGAGAGGATGTCGTGGGGACCTCCTCCTCACTATGCTGTGAACGAGAACGGCTCCTCCGGGGACGAGATCGACGCGGAGACATTGCAAATCTGCAACGAAAAGCAGCAAGTCAGGTACAATCTAAAACATGAATATACGAAATTTAAAAGGGAAATTAAGAACTTTAATTAAAATCCTATACACAAATAGGATTTCATAATTGAAGTCTAATTAAACCTACAAATTTCGTGCACGATGATTGTCATCTTTCACGGTGAATTTTGGTGAAATACCCAAAATACCCTTTGTGTTCAAGGCCAAAATCTAGGTCAAGGACACGCGTGACCCGGGTCATGATCGTCACATTCGATCATATAACACCCCGGTACCCCACAATTTTGGTTAAAATTTGCAAATGAGCCCTTTTGCAGAATTCAGCCAATTTTGCATAAAAGCCCCTCTACAAAATCTTGGTTTGGGCTCCACATGCCTTATCAAAATTTTGATCATGAGTTCGTGGTCAAAACTCATTGGATTTCAGCCATAAGTTCACTGCCTTTTGCAAATAAGTCCCTCTAAGACATTTATGGGCTGTTTTGCAAATAAACCCCTCCAACAACTTTTGGTCCTCTTGCCTAAAATACCCCTCAAGCTTGTGGCCAAATGAACATGTAATTTAGGTCCTAAACTTCAGTCCTCTATTACATGAACACCACCCCAATTCTTCGGCCACTTTTGCAAATAAGCCCCCAAAACTTTTCGGCCCCACATTTGCACATAAAACCCTCAATAAGGTATGGTCTTTTTGCATGAAACACCCATCCAAATTGTTACCAAAGGGGAATGAAATCCAAGCCTCAAAATTTCAGTCCCATTTTGCAAATAAACCCCCACGAATTTTGCAAATAAACCCCCCAAAGTTTCGGCCATTACCTCTTTTTGCACAAAACCCCCCGAAATAATAGTGCATACATGCCCCCTAGTCTACCACAAGAATAAAAATGCAACCTTTACCACAAAATAAGAGGATGGTGAAGAGGAGCTTACCCAAATCAAGAGGCTTGAAATCCCCAATCCAAGAGTCAAGATCCGAGCTTGAAGGTGGAGGGAGAAACCCTAGTGAAAAGTGAAAATTTTCGGCCAAGAAGGAGCATACAAAAAACCGAATTTCTTTGGGGTATGGAGCTCTTGAAAGAAAAACAATGGAGGAGGTTTGGAGGAAGAAGATGAATTCTCTTTTGAAAAGAGGGGGGAAAACAAAAGGGGAAACAAATTCAAACAAGAAAGAAAACAAAGAGGGGGGAAACAAAATGAAGAAAAAGACAAAAGGGGGGGGG